GTTCAGGGTTGGATTTAGAAAATTTCCAATCATACTGCATTCATTAAATAACTGCAGTATTTTGAAATGTCTTGATAATGAAATCTAATGTAAAATTACCATTTGGTAATAAAATCTAGGGTAAAATCATTGTTTATGTACTTAGGCTTATAAAATTGCTTTTTGAAGATTATGGAACAGGAAGAGATGTACAAGATTGTTTTGATGCCTTTGCTCACGACACATTTAAGGTCAGACTGAAGCCTGATCTCACTTATTTTCCGGATGAAACAATTTCCTTTCTCACTGAATTTGGTCTGCTAAAATCTCATTTTCCCCTGAAACAGCGTGGTCATAATTGACACTTGCTCATCTTTATTTTCCACCACATGATAAATACCACCAGGGCAAAGCACAAAATGGGGTATAAATTTACAGGGCCGGCCCTAGGATTTTTGCCGCCCCAAGCAAAAACAATTTTGGCTGCACCCCTCCCCCCATTTTTTAATTACCCCGGCCCCGCCTCAACTCCGCTCCTTCCCCAAATCCCCAGCCATGCCTCCTCCCCCCCGGCTCTCAAGCCTAGGAGGGAGGGAGGGGGAGAAGCGGCGCCTGCGCCGCGGCCACTCAGAGTCTCCCCCTCCCTCCCAGGCTCTCAAGCCTGGGAGGGAGGGGGAGCAGCGGCGCGCGAATCAGCTGTTTTGCGCGCCGCGGCCGCTCGGGATCTCCCCCTCTCTCCCAGGTTTGAAAGCCTGGGAGGGAGGGCGAGGAGCGGCATGCAAATCAGCTGCTCACAGTGCGCCAGCTGCAGCAGCAGTGGAGGTGAGCTAGGGCGGCTGGGGCACATTTTTAGGGGCGGCAGGGGTGGCATTCTGGTGCCGGCCATGCCGCCCCAAGCACCAGCTTCTTTTGCTGGTGCCTAGAGCCAGCCCTGCAAATTTATGACCTGCAACTGAACATTTCAGTTGGCCTCTTCTATTTACAACAGTTCTTCACTTACTTAGCAAGTACAATTAGTCCCACCAGGGTCTCCTTCCCCAGCAGAGGATATAGCATAGCACACATAATTTGCCTATGCTATCATAGTCACAGCGCTCTCATCTATATTTATCAAGTCCTAACTAAAGCTTCTCTCTGAGCTGATTATCAAACCAGATGGCTATTTTGGTGGAGTTGTGGGTTTTTTGGTTTCTGCAGGTGTAGTTTTATAAACCATATCCACCAATGAGAGTTCATGATCTACTAAGGGCAACGATGGAAACACTGTCATCATACTTAGTTAAAATTAAAATGCTCAAAACAGGGGAGAATATCAAATTGTATGAAACATTAGCGGGGTGACCTGGCTGTCCTGAGATCTTTTGTGTCTCTGATTTCTAACACTGGGACCCAGCCCCTTGTCATTTTGCGGATCCCCCAAGAGACGTGACGGGCCTCTTTCTGCTGCTTTCTTTTCCTGGGGACGTAGGCAAAGTACTGTCCTGGATCTCCATGGAAGAATAGCATGTGTATGTGCAAAAAGTCTTGATTATTGGTCAGTCTACCTGACAGATGAGCAGAATGTGGGAGGACGACATCAGTTTGGACTGATAGAAAATATTTCCGGAGAAAATAGAAAAATAAATGGAAGTCTAGATTTTTTTTAATCTATTTTTAATACCAGAAAGTGGAGACTGAGGATGAAAAACCAGGCACCTGAATTGATACAAACATTTATTTCACTGTGTCTGCCCAGAAAGCTAAGCAAACTGTGCTTGTCTATGGTAAATAAAACACACAAAGGGCACTGCATAGATCAAGGAGCGAATCAAACATTACATTGTCTCATCACAATTTTTGTTGAATGTTTTATGGAACTGCAAACCAAGTTATTTTTGCCTTAGGTGAAGGATGCAGGGACATCACCATGAGATGAATGAATAGGTCAACAATCTATGAATGAATAAACAAACAGTACTGGTCAGACAGCGGTTTTCCTCAGTTTTTTTTTTTTTTTAAGTAATTTGATTCCACAGCTAGCTGTAGAATATTGCAATAATTCTTCTGTAAATACAAACACATCGTTTGTCGAGACATACTCCTGCATGAGCCAAAACAAAGATTGTACCAAGTGCAAGTGCTGGATGAAGGAGTCAGATGCATGGGAAGTTTTCAAAACAATTAGGTGACATTTTATGCGTTACCTTGGCTGCAGCTTGGTCATCATTCCCCGACTGAGTGTGACGGCTCCCCTATCTGTTCAGATTTTATACAGCAACATCAGTGCCTGCAGCACTCCTCTGCATAGCGGGCATGTGTCAGACATACTACACCCAGCTACCCACGTTTTGCGCAGCTCCCTTTGTGATGTGCTATGCAAATTATTTCATGAGCTAGTTTGCATATTTACAAATAATTTGTATAGAAACAAACTTTAGCTTTAAACAGTAGTGTGGATTTATTGATGGCGAAAGATAACCCGGCCACAGCGCTGGTAAACAAAGACCCTGGTTGAGCTCCACTGCAGGAGAGAAGCAGAGCAAGGTTCCCACACCCTGCCTTGTCAGCATGCTTTAGCCTGGGAATTAATCCACAGCTTCAAGCCGTCTCCATGGCCTATGTGGTTCTTGGGCTTTCCGGTGTGTCTGACAATTACTAACAAGCAGGCTTTGCACTCTGTATCGTGAAAGCTGGAGCAGAGAGACCCATCAAACTCATGTCATATAGGGCCCACCAAACTTCCATTACATGCAAATGCCTGCTGAGCTGGGCTAGATTAATACCTTTGCTCTACAGATGAAAAGCTCTGCAGACAATGTCCTGAGGCATCCAAAAAGTGTCAAGGGCAGTTCCTACACCTACACGCACATACAATTATTACCAACCACCTCAGTAAAAATCATAAGACAAATCCCTTAAAATGTGAATTGCTGAAAAATCATGAGATTTAAAATAATTAGTGTTTTGGGGACTGATCCTGATTTCTAAACTCCACAGAAGTTGAACACATCCCTCCCGCAAGGGCCAGACTGACTGCACGTCTCACAGCAAAAAACCTGAAAAGAAACACAAACAGGAGCACACACCAATGAGAGGGGAAGCACCTCCCCCACTCTTCCTCCGTACTTGGACATCCCAATTCCCCTCGTGCAGCCCCTGGGCTGTCTCAAGCTTCCTGAGGGAGTTTCCCCAAGTTTTGACCCCATTCCATGGCCAAAGTGCAGCAGAGTGCAACAGCCCCCATGCCAGCATGGCCCAGCATTCCCCTCTAGCCCCTTATCCCCCCCAGCAAGCCCCATATTCCCTCCCATAGGCCTGAGGCAACTCCCTCATCCCTCAAGCAACCCCCACATTCCTTCCCCCCCTCCCCCGCAGGCCTGAGGCAACCCCCTCATTCCTCCCAGCAAACTCCCCCTCATTCTGCCCCAGCACCCCGCTCTCCTAGGTGGGATGTGGCCCGCCCAAAGCGCCTACCTCCCCTGTTCGCCCTCAGGGCCTCGGCGAGCAGACACTGTGGTGCAGCAACCTCTAGTGGCCAACGAGGGGAAACCAGGCGGCATGGCCGAGCCGCTGGTCAACCCCCCCCGCCACCCCCAAATGCTACAGGGACGTGTTAGTCACAGCTGGTCCCCGGTTCCAGCTAGGATTGCCAACTTTCTAATCGCACAAAACTGACCACCCTAGCCCCTCCCCTTCCCTGAGGTCCCGCCCCCTGCTCCCAGACATGCTTTCTCCTTTGGTGGCTCGCTCTCCCCCACCCTCACTCACTTTCACGGGGCTGGGTCAAGGGTTCGGGTGATGGATCTAACTGGGGGGGTGCAGGCTCTGGGGTGGGGCCAGAAATGAGGGGTTCAGGGTGTAGGAGGGGGCTCCGGGCTGGGTCAGGGGGTTGGGGTGTGGGAGGGGGTCAGAACTCTGGCTGAGAGTGTGGGCTCTGGGGTGGGGCTTGGGATGAAGGGTTTGGCGTGCAGGCTCCAGTCTGGGGGGGTGGGGCCAAGGAATTGGAATGTGGGAGGGGGCTGCGGGTTGAGGCGGGGGTTGGGGTGTGGGAGGGAGTATGGGCTCAGGGCTGGGGATGAGGGGTTTGGGGTGCAGGAGGGGGCTCTAGGCTGAGGGGGTGGGGCTGAGGGAGTGCGGCCAATGGGAGTGTGGAGCCAGTGTTCGGGGCGGGGGCAGCGCACAGAGGCCCATGCGCCCCCCCACCCACCCAGGAGCCAGACTTGCTGGCTGCTTCCGGAGCACAATGCAGCGCCAGGACAGATAGGGACTAGTCTGCCTTAGCCCCGCAGCACCTCTGACTGGACTTTTAATGGCCCGATCAACGGTGCTGACTGGAGCCGCCAGGGTCCCTTTTCGCCCTGGCGTTCGAAGGAAAACCGGACACCTGGCAACCCTAGCGCCAGGGCATGGGCAGAACAAATGAACCCCCTGGGTTAAGTCTGGGGGCCTGGCAGTGGCTAATGGGCATGGACCTGCTCGGGTACTGGGCTGTGACTTCGATCACTAGCCCTGTTGTGCGGGGGGAGGAGACCTGTGAGGCACAGGGTAGGGGAAGTGGCATGACCCGGTTCACACAGGGAGGCCGCACCTGAGTCGAGAACGGCCAGGCCAAGTACTGTAGCCACCCAAACAGCCTTTCCATCTTGGGTAAGCTTCTTCCTCCCGGCCCTTGGCCAAACCCTCTTCAGAGCAGTGTAGTTAAAGGATAACTGATAGCTGTTCAAGAGCGAGGCAATTCAGTGTTACAGGTCCCCGAACAACCATCTCTCTCGCTCTGTATATGGTTACGGCTGCAGAATTTCACTGGTTAAACCACTTTGGAAGCTACAAAACTTTCTCCCATACCAAGAGGCATAGGTGCTGGAACTAGGGGTGCTGGTGCATCCCCTGGCTTGAAGTGGTTTCCACCGGGTTTACAGTTTGGTTCAATGGCTCTCATCAGCACCCCCACAATATTCCAGCACCCCTGCCATGAGGAGCTTGGTTGGTTTGCCAAGTATGACAGTAAAAACACTATTGCAGTAGTTAAACATGACACGAAATGACATTTTTAAAGGGAATTTTATTACAAAGGGAAGGGCTCAGCTTATCAAGTACAGGCATTGTGTGTACAACCCAATAGTAGACTTTATTTATTAAAAACATTGCAAGCTTCTGTGTATTCAGAAAGTCGGCCTGTTCAACACAGCCTTTGTGCCAAACCCTCAGAACAAAGTGACACAGAAAATAAATGGACCAGCTAAAATCTGCTTTGTAGCATGGCCTTTCACTAGAGTTAATGAATGACACCGATGGCTGGTGTTTAAGCTTTGAATGAAAATAAGGTTGGTTTCAGTAAGATATATGATTTGGTCTATGAAGCTCAGATACCAAACCTGCCTAGCAGATAAGCTCCCAGTTCCAGTCTAACACCTTTAAATGGAAGAAAATCAGCGTTTGCTAGCATACATCCTTGGGATTATCCACAGGGTAATTCTGGAAGTGAGTATACCCTCCCAGATAGTGTGTGTGTGTGCTATTGAACTGTCCCACAATTAAAATGGTGAAGTGAGACTGTGTGTCAAATGGAAAACTGCATACAATTCAGCCTTAAAATGACTGGCGCTTTAATTTCTGTAGTTCATAGAGCCCTTCCAGTTAAGCCATCACATGGCCAGTTTTGCTGGCCCTTTTCCCGCCAAATTAGCCCTGCAATGATGTGATAAATTTAAGATTTTGAAATAATCAGATTGCTGAAGAAATGAAGACGATGTCAGCGGGACAAAGGGGGCCATTTTCCCCTTGAGCCATGTGCTAACATTAATGGAAATCATGTGCTCAGACAGTTGGCTGTTGAGGTTGACTGTTCACTGTACAATCAATTAGGACAGTGACCGCTTGGCACAAAGAAAGCTCACATTGATAATTCTCCATGATGAGATGGGAAGTGCAGAAAACAGGCCTGGGTCTTCAGATGGGCCCAGTTACCATCCCGCCGCATGCTGTGTTGTGCTTTGTTTGAGACAATGTACCCTGACGTCGTTAGATGTGTCTACCCATTGTGACACTAAGTCTAGTGCTGCTTTCCAAATGTAAGCTTGCTCCGGAGAACACAGGGTTAAAAACACACTTTAATTGGGAGGTTTACATTAAAAATGCAATATTTCCCCCCCACCATAAAAAGAACCATATAAAAATATTTTTTTTTAAATCAACAAATTATGTTTTAACAAAAGTGCTTAAGTTCGAACTCGCCCCACACCCTTCCCATCTTGGCAATGCTGTTAGCAATTGAAATTAAAAGCGTATTTGGCAATGTGACTTGCATAGTGTATGGGCGCCCACCCTGCGTGTGTATGTATGTCAATATGTGGTAGTGTCGTATGAACTCCCTTTGTACCATTGGCCTATAAAAGGACAGGATGTGGTAGCCATTTCTGGTGCATAATCACATGGACTTAACAAACGCCAAATGCATTTATGGGCGATGCCAAGAAAATGTTTTTGTCGACGGATACAGAGAATTCCACAATTGCCCCCACCCACCTGCTTCCCCTCCAAGAAATCCAGATCCCTGCAGAAGTTTGGCCTAGTTCCTTCCATTGCTGTGTTCATTAAGTGCGCTTGCTGATCAGACCACCCAACATGGCTACAGAACGCAGCAGAATGAAGAGACGCTCCATAGCCATTCAACAGTGACTGGTGGGAAGTACAATGAAACCTGTATGAAGGATGTCACCCCAGTGTCTTGAGACAACCTACTTCTGTGATTACCGAAGCCACCCAATCACTTTTGTCCAAGCTTCAGTTCAAAACCGTGGCTCCGATTCTAATGTCAGAAAAACTGCTCGCCGCCTTAATCTCCAGGATACTGGATTTTTCTTTTCCAGGAGGCTTGAGTAGTTGGTTAAAGCAGGTTTCACTGTATTTAACTAAGTCTGGCCCTAATGCAGGACACCTGGATTGGTGACAAAGGAAGTCCTTACAAGACCTAAGATACGAATGCGGGAACTTGAATACACGTCTCATCAGCAGACAGTGTGTGTGGGGTTAATGCACTGCGAATGAATGGGAGCATATTCCCAACTGGTAGTTCTGTGTTGGACACGTACAAACTAGAGTCATTCAAAGCCCAACAACATCAAATTAAAAAAAAAAAGACACATCCTGAACTACCAAGTCTATGTGGTTAGTTGACTGACTAGGAAGGTTTTCTAGCAGGAAGCCAATAAAGATCAGGCTAATTCTCTACTGGATTCCAACATGGTGGCTCTGGATCCCGCGGTACGGAATACTGATCCTGGTGCTTAACTTAGACCCCAGCGCTTCTTCTTTTTCGTCTGCCAACAAATACTTGTTCACCTAAGAGAGAGAGGGAGACGGAGAGCGAGGGTGTGAAATGCTGTGTATCGAAAAGACAAAGTGAGGTTTTCATTAGTCACGGGAGATTGGTAACAACTCAGCATTCACCCACCTTTCACTTTCAGACGAATAGTTACCCTTTGTTGTTGGTAAGAATATGCCCTCCAGGTGACATTCACCCCTGTGCAGAGGGCATGTGCAACATTTAAGCCCTTATGGCAGGGTTTAGGGGTAGTGGTTATTTATGTAGGTTTCCATCAGGTTGCTCATCACCATGGTATCTGAGCGCCCAGGGCTGCGTGCAGCCTGTCTGTCTGGGTCTTAGTTTCACCTTTTGTGAACACGCCCATTATCCTACACTACATCTACTGTATGGCGAGAGGTAGTTTTGGCCTATAAAGACCTCCCCCCTTGTTCCTGGCCATACCAATCCAGGGGTTAGAATTCAGCAATGGAAAGGCCTTTCATGTCTGTAGGATTCCTTCACGTGTGAGTTACTTTGGAGTGTTAATATAAAGAAATGATGCAAAAAGGTGCTCCCTAAAATTCAGCCATCAGTGGCTAGACCAGGGAAGCTTCTCAGTGCAGCAAAAGGACATGGTGGGGCGGACAAGCTGAAAATGATGGCTCTGTGCCAGCTCTGCATAGCCCCCCTCAGAGGAGGGTTGGGAGCATGCGAGAGGGAGCAGTATGGCCACTGAGACTGTGGTTATGTGCATCCCCTAGTGGCTGCTTATCCCTATGTACGGGAGGACTCCATGTCTGCTGCCTCTGTTATAGCCCAGGGATGGGCTCCCTGACACAGGACAGGAGTGGATTTTGTTTTATTTGCTCTGCATAGTTTGCCCCCAGCCATTTACTCTGGCTTTGTGTAGGTGAGAGGGGTGGATGCTTCTCCATCAGGCAGAGAGGTCAAGCGACTCGCCTGAGGGTGCAGAGAAAGTCAGCGCTGGAGCCGGGATTCAAACCCAGGCTCCTGTCCCTTACTCAAGCCACCAGAAGACATTTTGCTCTCTCACTACCCACGAGAAGTGCAGAGCGCCCATCTTGCTCTGGGAGGACGTTCATACCTTTCTCTCCTTTCTCCCCCTTCGGGCCCCTGGGTCCTTGGGGTCCTGGAGGCCCCATTGGTCCAGCCTCACCTGGAAGAACAAGAGGAACGTGTTTACATTTCGTCATGGTTATTCTGCAGGTCAATCCCCAGTTGCCTGCAGCAAGAAGTGGGCTGGGACGAGAGGGACGAGGGCCAGGATGACACTAGGGATCAGATACTGAAGGTGGCATATGTAATGCTCAACTAGAAGGATGCATGCTTCAGGGAAACCTCGCTTCACAGAGCCTGTGTGCCAGAGGTTACGGGAACTGACGGCCAGGAGGCAGTAGGATTGCAGGTCTTACCTTTGGGCCCTGGGTAGCCCATCTCTCCCTGCGGACCAGGTGGCCCTGGGATGGTACCATATGCTGTAGAGGAAAATGAATAAGAGCATCAGTGGGATGTGCTAGCAAACAGGCCCTTACTCTTGTTTCAGTAACACTGAACAGCACTGAAATGAGACTCAGATCAAGGCTTTCTGGAACATTTACCTAGTTTAAATAGTATTGGACGGGCTGTTTGGGTTTTTTTTTATGGTTTTGTACGTTCAAGAGACACTGAGCCAGACGCTGAGCTCATTTCCCCGGATGTTGCTCTAGAATAATCCCGCTGGCTTCAGCCGAGCTTCTCCGGAACCACACTGATGTCATCGAGAGCAGAGCCTGGGCCACTCTCACATCACTGAGGTGGAAAACTGAGTAGGGAGGTCTTAGCTAAACATACGTAGATGCAGCTGGAATCTGCAGAGCTGGTGCAGGCTTGCCCCTAAGGCTGTTGTAAAGGGTTTTACAAAACGTGATGGACAAATGTGGCTGTCCTGACTCAAGGCTGGATTGTTCCTGACCCTGTGCTGGTCAGCAAGGGAGGTAGAGGAGGGAACAAGTCTTCCTGTTGGGGGGAAGGGATAGCTCAGTGGTTTGAGCATGGGCCTGCTAAACCCAGGGTTGTGAGTTCAATCCTTGAGGGGGCCACTTGGGGATCTGGGGCAAAATCAGTATTTGGTCACTGCTAGTGAAGGCAAGGAGCTTGGCTCAACTCCATGACCTTTCAGGGTCCCTTCCAGTTCTATGCAATAGGTATATTTCCTCCCTTTGCTTGTGGCACAGGTGACCAAGAATTTTGGTTCCTACTCTTGCAGTATGCAAGGGCCAGGGGATGCTGCCAATTAGAGAAGCACTGGGAACCCCACCCTCGCTGAGCACCCCAGCCAGCAAAGCTGGGCCAGCGTGGGGAGAGGGCGAGAACACACGATGCTCTGGGATGACCAAGGAGGGACCAAAGTATCTCTTACTTCTGAAGAAGTCCACGAGGTCCTCGGTGACGTTGCCATAGTTTGCAAACACCCTGCTGATCCCAGGCGGCCCTGGGGGTCCTGGCGGACCTTGTGCAGCGTAAGTGACCATGTCCCGGAGGAGGCCTCGGCCTGGGGAATTAAACGCAGGGTTTAAAATAGCAGGACACAGAGAAAACCCCCTTCAGCCAGACGAGCACTGTGCCTAGGATGATTTGAATGGCAGGATACTGGCCTGTTAACATATCTCCAGCCCTGCAGCGTGAATTCCATGGAATAACCCTGAGATCCTGTTAGAGACGCTCTCTTCCGACAGGAGAAGATGAATCTTAGAACGTCAGCGCTATATGGGATTTCACGGTTGTGGAGCCGGCGCTATTGTTTGTATTAAACGTCTCGGAAGAGTGTGGTTTTATTTTCCCTTCTAAATCGCCAGAGAACGGCCCCTGTGCGGGGGACCAACACAAGAGCCCAGCTACCCTGCGAGCCCTAGTTTGAGGATTTAAGAGGGACTTATGTGGTGCATTGGTTTTGCACTGGCACCTCTGCACAGGGGTCAATTTCACCCCAACACAGAGGGAGGCAAATCCCCCAGAGCCATGCATTTCAGTGTCTTATCTGAGCAGGTTATTTTCATTTCCCCGGGCAGGTGAGCGCTGTCCCTTGCCTATTGCTAGAAATAATGAATATCAATTAATTCTGGCTGGTGTTTAATAGGCAAAGAATTCAAACATCAATCTGCACCCAGTGTTCGTGGCTCTGCAGTCATTTGCTCCCATTGGCCCAGGAGAAGAAGTAGCACCATCACTGAGTCTGATTTTCTCCTCCAGCACAGCAAACCTCGCCGTGGACTCACGGGTTGGCAGGTTCAGCAGGTCAGTGCTTTGCACTGCTGGTGGCAGGGCTCAGTAGATCTGGGCCTTGCTCCCAGTGGTGATGGGCTCAGGAGAGACCTGCATCCAGCAGTGCACAGGGGGGTAGGAAGGGAAAGTGGTGGATGGTGGTAGATGGGCTTTGCAGGGCATGGGGGGAGGGAGTTGAGGTTTCACCATGCAGCGGGAGAAGGCTTCCCACTCACTCTGTATGCTCTCCGACACCCGGAGTGCCAGCTCATTGTAATCCAGCGATCCGGTGAATGACTCGCTGTAGGAGCCGCTCGAACTCATCGATCTCCTCTGTGTTCTTTCTGCTCCCAGGGATCCACTGTACGATCCGTCTGCACCCACTGAGCCATCGTATGACCCATCGCTGCCCATGGTGCCACGGTACGATCCATCTGCACCCTGGGATCCTCCATGGGACCCAGCCATGAGGCCGCTATCTCCTTTTGGCCCTCGTGGGCCCATAGGCCCCGGGGGCCCGGGAGGCCCCGAGATGAACCTTCGAACATCATCACCTGCAAAACACAACAGGCGCTGATGGTGCTAGCAGACAGACACACAGATGCCACACGCACCCTGCTTCCCAAGGACAGAGTCCATGGGGCATTGGCACTGGTGGCCAACAGCCTGGGAACGCTGGGCAGTGGCTGAGAGTCTGCAACCTGATTTGTCTGCAGAATGCAGCCTGCGGCAACGCACTTCACTTTACATCTGCAAACTGCCCCAGGAGGCTGGCCGGTAGCCTGAACCCCAGATGGGGAAACTGAGGCAAGGAGCCCAAAGATGGAGGCTCCCCAGATTAAAAGACACTTTTTCAAAGGGTGCCCTCAGCGACTTGCCAGAACAGGACAGAGGCAAGTCTGGGTTCAGGGTGTACTTGCTGCTGGCTCAGACCCATACCCCCTTCCATTGCTCGTTAGGAAAATGCCTTCCCCATAAAAAATGACAGTAAAAAACATATAAGAAGTCCACCTTTAAATATAACAGTGGTGAACACTCATCGCCTCGCCAACGCCTTGCATCTCGGGATCACCAGAGGCTGTATTAGGCCTCAGTCTGGTGCAGAATAGATAAGGTGCAAAAGGTGAAATTCAGCCCGGGGCAGAGGTCTGGCGCAGGGACAAGGCACCATTTAAGTCCCGCTTCAGCCTTTGGGGGACTTAAATGGTACCTAGTCCTTGCAGTGAATTTCACCCAGAGTGAATCCTACTAGGTCATAGATCAGACTTGCCGACTATAACATTGACCAGAGCGGAGTGGGTGGGTGGTGAGATTGCCATCAGATACCGAATCTCCTTACTGGTTAGATATTGGATCAGCTCGCTCCTAAATGTGTCGCTCAGCACGTTGTCAGTGTAGGAGAAGTGGCCAGTTCCTGACAGACCTGGTGGCCCTGGTGGCCCTGGAGGTCCTGGGGGTCCCGGTGGTCCAGAGACAGAAGCGTATCCCACACCTTGGGAGAGTAGGGATGGGGAGAAATAATATTTTTGTGAATGGCAGGTGACCTGGCAATTACACTAGTTTTGGAATCTTGATTGTTTCAAGATTCCAACCCCAAATTCCACCTCTCTTTGTGCCCTGAAACGCAGACGTGGATGAGATTTGCAAGCTGCCTGGGGATTCAGTCCCATTTAATGGGCATGACGCATCCAAATCTCCTGGGGAGCTAACTTGCAGCCTAAATCTCCCTGCCGTCTCTGAATGCCATTTCCTCTGCAGGCCCAAACCCTTCCCAGCAGCTGTTGAGAAGAGCAAACTCCTTACTTTGCAGGTAAGAGGTGACATCCTCTAGGCTGAACGTGGAGAAAGAGCTGCCTGGAATTCCAGGGGGTCCCTGTGGCCCTGGAGGTCCAACAATGCCTCTAAATTCAGAGCCTGGAAGTACAATGGAAGAGAAAGAGTCATTGCAAGGCTTCCACCCCATTGCACCCAAAGCGTCGCTCCCCTGGCAGTAACATCTCTGCTGATGAACGGGCTTCACTCCTGCACTTCTATTTGCAGTAGGAGTGTGTGGGGAATCCAAGAGAAAGTGCTGTGAATGGCCTGCAGCGGGAACTGCCAGCGCACGCTGCACTGACGACACTGGGACGACGACTGGGCGCAGAGGCCTGTGCTGTGGTCCGTCCATTCCGGTGCAGAACAAGGGACCAGATTTGTATTTGCTTTGTCCAGTAGCATTAGAGGCTCCACTCGTCACTCCATAGTTTGATGAGGGTTGGGGGCAATCTCTGTCTGTGTTTCCAGTCCTCACATGGAACAGACACCTCCTGAGCTCTCAGACAGAGGTGGGATTCCGGTCAGAACCCCCTGACCTGCCGTTCTCCACAGCATCAGATGGAGCAAGAGCCCAAAGGAGACACTCATGGGTTTGACTGGGTACAAGCCATACACAGTATATTAGGGATTCCTTGAATTCGATGGAACTGTGACATTCATTCAGTGCAACAGCATGTCTGTAAGCAGAGTAGAACTGCTCATCAGAGGTTAGAGAGGGTTAACCAGGATGACAGGTGATACTGGAAATCCAACAGACTCTCCTATAGATGATGGTTGGATGGGAGGAGTTTAGTAATAACCTCCTCCCCCAGAAAAGTGTGCTTTTCCCTCAGCTGTTGGTTGTAGGAATCTATCAGTGTATATCAGCCTATAAAAGAATATCACTGACTGACTACCTGGCGTGTGGCTAGCAGGGTGTGACACCTAGGGCTTACCTTGGAGTAAAGCTATTAGGTCACTGTAAGATGTGCCGGGTAATCCTGGAGGACCAGGGGGTCCCGGGAGGCCAATACTGAGTCCATTATCTAGGAAATGAAAAACATTTAGATGTGAGGATCACAGCGACATTGGCAGGCTAAACATCACATGTGCCACTGAAACATGATCACTATCATAGTGGGACAAACAGAGCTGGGTGGCTAATTTACAACCAATAATTCCTGTAGGGTGAAATTCACCTCCATGCAGGTCAATCCAAGGCTAAGGCCTATGTACCACTTACGATCCATTCAAATCAGGCCTCAGCTGATGCATAGGTCTTGTGCTGGCCCTTGTCACCAGATGGGACTTTCACCCATTGTGAATCTAGCCTCTTTCTCTGCTCCTGGAATAGCCTCATATTTACTCACCAAGTATCTCTCTAAATCTCTTAGTCTATGGACTGATCGTGCATATTCAACCTGTGTGGGTTAGTTGTGATTGAGCCAATGAATCACATGGTATTATTCCCCTGTTCCCTGATTGGATAAGAACGTCATGCTTTCAGCGCAAATGGGAGGATTTAAAATTTGGTTTCTGCAAATACCGGTAGCTCGCAGCTTTCAAATTTGCTTTGCCAAAATGTTTCTGCCAGTAAAACTTGGCCACACGGGTTGAACTGCTCCTAGAGGGCATTAGCAGCCTCTCGGGTGGGGTTTCAACTAAACAACCATTTGCCAACTAGAATGACAAAAAGCAGCTTTTCCCCGGAACGGTGTGGTTAATAGGGTCCAATCATTCAGGGCCTGATTGTAAGAGGTGCAGAACAGGGAACTGAACCAGGTGTCCTGAGTCCTAACCTAACCACTGGATCATCAACTTATTTTCTAAGTTTCTCTAAGGAGACCTCTGTGCTGGCCGTCACTATATATACACCAGCAACACATGCCTTCACTTAGGGCCTGGTACAAAGCCACTGAAGTCAATGGGTGCCTTGCCATTGACTTCTATGGCTTTTTGAACAGGCCCTTGGAAAGAATAGAGAACCACACACTAAAAAGGATCATTACTTGTTATGTAGCTTATAACCCGGCTGGTCAACTCATCATAGTTCAGTGACAGAGACAAGCCATCTCCTCCGGGTCCAGGCGGGCCTGGAGGCCCCTGAGGTCCAACTAGATACTGACGAACTTCTTCTCCTGAAACGAAAAAGGAAAAAGAGTCTTTTGTGCTGCTGGTTGTCCCCAAAGGGTGGGAAGGAATCAGCTGCTAGCATTCACAGTCTGACAGCAGGGCTGCCTAGCCAGGGACTTGCACTGAAAGATGGACGCTCAAACCTGCTGGCAGGAGGCTCCCACACATCCCAGCCCCCCATGCACATGTGCCTGGGTATTGTATCGGGAGGTGAGTAGCTCACAGAGTCTCGACCTCCTTCGAGGTGGGGATCCCCAGGCAGGGCCGCCCAGAGGGGGGGGGCAAGTGGGGCAATTTGCCTCAGGCCCTGGGCCCCGCAGAAGCCCCGTGAGCCCTGGCCCGGCGGCGGTCCGGGTCTTCGGCCGGCATTTCGGTGGTGGGGGACCCTTCAGTGCTGCCGAAGACGCGGAGCGACTGAAGGGCCCCCGCCGCCGAAATGCCGCCGAAGACCCGGACTGCCGTTGGGTGAGTACAAGCGCCGCAGCTCCCCCACTTTGCCCCAGGCCCCCTGAATCCTCTGGGCGGCCCTGTCCCCAGGAGAAAGACATACCAGCTCTGTTTTCTTTGAGCTGCTGCAGGGATCTGCTCTGCTTGTATTTAACAGGCCGAGCCATTTCTTCAGAATCCGCCCATCCCAAGATCCTTCTTACAATTAGTTCCAGTTCTGATTGTATTTCCTTTGTTGTCGGTTCCTAGCAGGGCGAGCTCAGCTCAGCCGCAGCGCCCGCTCCTGCTTTTCAATTGGATTTTCCAGCTGGCTTGACTCAAGCACAGAGAGGTCAAGTGATTTCCCCGCAGGGAGTCAGTTGCTCAGCCAGGAGTAGTGCTGTCTGCAATCCCTAGCTGTCACCATGATTTAAACCTCCTGCATCTCTCGGCCCTGGGATTCCCCTCTGCTCTGAGGCATGATGCGATTACATGATGAGCGCTCTCATAATAGAGATTACAGCTCTTTACTCTCAAACAGGAGCCAAGACTATCCAGAGTTAAATCATCCCGAACCAAGGAATAGAAACCCTTCATTTTAGGTTAGGAAGAAAAGGGCTAAGAAGAAAATTTCCCTGGGGATAGGTTTCGCCATCGCAGCCTGCTGCAGGGTTTCTTCCTCTGATGCCGCTGGTGCTGGTGCCAGCGACAGGCCACTGGTCTGACCCAATTCCTATGTTCCTAAGCAAGCCCAGACAGTCCCGAGCAGCAATGGAATCTGCAGCCCTCACTGCTCGGGACACTCACTCTGCAGCATGGCCAGGATGTCTTCGTAAGTCAGGAATCTTGAGGAGGAGGATGACATCTCAATACTGTAACCGGAGCCTGTGAGAATGGAAATGTTTCATGTCACGTAGGACGAAGACCGACATAAAGAGAGGCAGCTCGAAAGGAAATTGCTTGGTGTGCCAGGCGGTGACAAAGAAACGGACTCACACTGGATCAGGGGGTGCAGCTTAAAAAGGAATTTAGTGGCTCTGTGGGAAAGACTTTCCTCTCATGCGCAGGGTGATGAATCCAGGGCTGGATCACAGCGTGGTCAGCCGGTAAGTATCATCCATGGGACAACAGAAATGAAACGAATGGCCTGCCACGTGGGAAAACATGACCCTCGCTCTCTTGACCTAGAATGGATTCTCTCTAGACAGCCAGAAGCGCAGGAGCTTCTGTCTCTTTGTAGATCCCTAGTCTTTGAAGGACAAGACAATGGCAGACAGTCTGATCCCAGCAAGCAGACGGCAATACTGTCACATACGTGCTGCCCATAGTGACAATGGCAGATTACGCTCCCATCTGACTCTCCAGGAGTTTAGGGGGTTGAGGGTCTAGCGTTCAAACGGAGTCTATCTAAAAGGCAGTAAGAACTGGCTAAACCTAATGTAAAAATGAGACAGGACACGGGGCTCAATTTTCCCCCCTTCATTCATGTGGAGCCGCACGCCATTCTTTGCGTCGCCCCACTGGACTGATTACAGAGTCGGACATTTTATAATCACGTTGGAGCATTGCTCCATAGACACCAGGAGCCGCTCCAGCGCAGGGCTCACCGGCAGGTCACATTCTGATCTCAGTGACGAGAACAGGATTTGGTGAATAGAGCTTAGGTAAACGGGAACGTGGGGCTTACTCCTCATGGAGCTCATAACACGCCTGGCCAGCTCGGCGTAGTCCAAGGATTGTCCGTCAATGGTGGTGATGATTCCTGGTGGCCCGGGGGGTCCTGGTGGGCCTTGAGGTCCAATCAGATAACGCCCGATGGTGTCACCTAATGAGGAACAAAGGTGACAGCCAAATCAGCAGCGTGAGAACGGTGTGACACGAGGAGAGACTGTATGGCAGGGTCTGAAGGGAGCCTGGTCATGTGGATCCTCCCGGGTTGCGTATTACGGACCATCGGAGGATGATCACACAACACTGCTTTACTCACCGGACTCCCCCCTCCTCGGCCCGTGGCAGTGTAACACTACCTGCCTGCCGGGGAGGGTTTAGGCAGGATCCTTGCAGTAGGGGGGCCCGTATCAGAGGGGCTAGTGCTCACTGGTGTATAGACTGCAGAGCAGCAGGTTGGGTAGCAGCCCATGCCGGGTTGGCTGCCACACATGGGAGAATTATGAAGGGCTCAAGAGTGGAGGAAGGCTGGAAGCCATCCAGGGAGGATGGGAGAGGGTGGGTCTGAGGGAACTCAAACCTTCGGTGGATCTGGGTCCTGGTTAGCTTCCCCCTCCCCTGCCGGCCCACGCTGGAGATGGGGGCACTGAATAATTTCACCTCCGCCATGGCCCGTGGATCTTGGGTGGTGGGACTGCCAGGAGCAGCTGAGTGACCAGCCCTTGTCAAAGCCCGACATCCCTGGTTGCACTTACTCTGCAAGTACTCCGCAACGTACTGCTGAATCTCCTGCAGCGAGCCTCCAGCTGGGCCTGGGGGACCGCGGGGGCCGGGAGGACCTGGTGGACCCTGGCTGTATCTTGAGTTTGAAGATCCGCCTGAAGAAATAAAATTGGCCAATGGCTTTTAGTATCAAGAGAACAGACCAAGGACTGGTAAGGTCGGAGCAGGCACTGAACCCTTCCCCTGGGTGTGGGAAGAGCCATGCTAGTATGGTCAGGGCTGGGAGGGACCCTAGTAAATCACCTAATCAGGCTGACAGAGGCACACAACACTGGAGCTCCAGGCTTTGCATTGGCTCCCAGTTCTCTTCCAAGTGCAACTCTGGGTATTGGCTGTTGTTATATGTAAAACCTTAAATCTATCTGAGCTATTTCTCTGGCTCATCACCACACCATCTGAACATCTCACAGACCTTAATGCATTTCTCCTCACAGCACCCCTGTATGGCAGGGCAGGCCTCTGATCCCCATTGTACAGAGGGGAAACTGAGGCACGGAGAGCGACTTGTCCAAGGTCATGCAAGAAGCCTGTGGTGGAGCAGTAACTGGACCCCAGGTCTCTCAAGTTCTAGGCTCGTGCCCTCACCACTGGACCAGGCGTCCGTTCCAAGCCCTCCCGAAATGGCCTTCTCTGAGCCACCTCTCCCACATCCTGTAACATCCCCATCAGCTGGTAGGATCCTGCTGTCTGTCACCAGCATGAAAATCCTGGGCAGAGCATTTCCTATGATGAGCTCCGAGCTCTGGAATTTGCTCCCTCTTGCAATCTGCCAGCGCCCTTCTGTGGGAACCTTGAATCGGATTTATGGTTGATTTAGGTCACTGGTCATTTAGTCAGAAGGTGGAGGACGGGAACGGTGGGGAATAATCTGTGTTGTGGTTTAACGTTGGCAATAGATACTGGGCCGAATTCATCCCTGGTGGGACTCTGCCAACGCATCCCCTCCACGACGGAGCTACAAGGGGCCCATGGCATCTAAAGGAACTGGGCCCAAGTCTCTGCTCACACTGGTGTGAATGAGGAGTCAAGGAGTGACACTGGTCTGAGTGAGATCCGAATAAGACGCTTGGATCTCAGTGAGTCAGGCAGTCGAGGCAATGCCGTCCCAAAGGACTGGGCGGTTCCTGCCATGCAGAAAACGGACAGGTGCGGTTCTGAAATTGTCCATTTTGGGACAGATGCTCAGGAGTGCCGAAGGGGCTTAGGAGCACAAGTGCCATTGACTTTCAGTGGGACCAGCGCTCCTAAATCCTTTTGAAATTCTCCCCCATTAATGTCAGCATTTCCTGCTATACAGATAGAGTCTGATCCCCAAGCAGGCTCCCCTTACCTGTTGAAGACCCTCCTGGGATGCCGGGGGCCCCTGGCACGCCTGCATCACCTGGAAACAAGGGAGAGAGACACAGGTAGCCTGGGTCGGACAGCACGGGATTAACTCACCCCTTGGGTAGTTTATAATGGCTGATGTGCTGCATGTCCCCTTCGAGGCCCTGCACTGATTCAATCTGAGATGGGGTCATCCCACACCCAGAGGCATGATCATGGAGACTGGGGTGAAGGGACAAGCAGCCTTGGCCAACCCTGCAGCGAGGCGAGTAAGGGCCAGCAGCAATGCCAGATCTTGTGCTCAGGGCAGTGCAGTCCTGCTCCCTTGGTGCACCCAAAGAGGGCGGCAGGGCCATGCTTTCACCCTGCACCAGTCCAGGAGGAGCAGGCTGCCTCAGTGAGAGGCCTGGGTGTGAAAGGGCTGCAGGTTCAGGGCATGAGGAGGAAGAAGGGTTTTCTTTTCACAAACCTTTGTCTCCTTTGGGTCCTCGAGGCCCTGCGGGTCCGGGAGGTCCCTGGACGGCGACTCCAGCACCTGCCCAACCAGAATGTCAGGAAAAGGAGTCAGAAGTGCACAGGCAGAAAAGCCTTGGAGGAGATCCTGGCCACACTGAAGTCAATGGGAGTTCTGCCATCGACTTCAGCCGGGCCGGGATTTCACCGCCTGGCTCCAGAGCAATGCAGAGAAGAAAGGCGTGTGCGCAGACTGACCTGAAGCAGAGATTCCTGGGAGGCCAGGCTGACCTGGGTCACCTAGATGAAACACACAGAGAGAGGGCAGTCACACATTCCTGCTGTTATAGTACTCCCCCCACCTGACAGCAGTGCTGTACGCCTGAATCCTATTTACCTGTGAATCCGCGTGGGCCCGGGGAACCTGTGAACAGGAAAACAGAGGCATTGTTAGACTGTTCACACCCACAGGCCCTGATCGAGTATGCAGAACACAATCACAGCATCTGATGGTCAGGGCTGAACGGGGTATTTTAACCCCGCCAAGGGAGGGAATTTCCCCCCCCCCTCCACAACAGCCAGCTTCCTACAGAGCACGGGTTTATGTTTACCACTCCCACATCCATGCACGTGACTAAGCACATCTGAGCCCCAGGAGACCCTGCAGGGAAGCAAAGCCATGGGGGAGGATGAGCGCCACCTGTGACCATGTCAGTGACAGGTCCTGAAGGAATGGAATCGCTCTGTGGCGAAGGCAGAACAGAGATGGGTCTGGACAAGAACAAGGAAACCCAAGCCGCATCGGATGCCATGCTTTGCAAATGGATCTTGTCCCTTTGATGGCAGAACCGAAGCTCTGGCTCCGAACACCCCTAAATCTTACGGGCACTTGAAATCTAGATCAGAACGTCATGGCTTGTCATTGGCCTGGCTCCTGAACTGAAATCTAGTTAGCTGCCACAGAGCCATGGGAGAATCCTATTTATTATTTGTACTCAACAAGGACAAGTGCAGAGTCCTGCACTTAGGACGGAAGAATCCCATTCACTGTTACAGACTAGGGACCGAGTGGCTAGGCAGCAGTTCTGCAGAAAAGGACCTAGGGGTCACAGTGGACGAGAAGCTGGATATGAGTCGACAGTGTGTCCTTGTTGCCAAGAAGGCTAATGGCATTTTGGGCTGTATAAGTAGGGGCATTGCCAGCAGATCGAGGGACGTGATCATTTCCCTCTATTAGGCATTGGTGAGGCCTCATCTGGAGTACTGTGTCCAGTTTTGGGCCCCACACTACAAGAAGGATGTGGAAAAATTGGAAAGAGTCCAGCGGAGGGCAACAAAAATGATTAGGGGGCTGGAGCACATGACTTATGAGGAGAGGCTGAGGGAACTGGGCTTATTTAGTCTGCAGAAGAGAAGAATGAGGGGGGGATTTGATAGCTGCTTTCAACAACCTGAAGTGGGGTTCCAAAGAGGATGGATCTAGACTGTTCTCAGTGGTGGCAGATGACAGAACAAGGAGTAATGGTCTCAAGTTGCAGTGGGGGAGGTTTAGGTTGGATATTAGGAAAAACTTTTTCACTAGGAGGGTGGTGAAGCACTGGAATGGGTGACCTAGGGACATAGTGGAATCTCCTTCCTTAGAGGTTTTTAAGGTTAGGCTTGACAAAGCCCTGGCTAGGATGATTTAGTTGGGGATTGGTCCTCCTTTGAGTAGGGGGTTGAACTAGATGACCACCTGAGGTCCCTTCCAACCCTGATATTCTATTGTATTCTATTCTATTCTATTCTATTCTGTGGTAGCTCCTTGGAGCACCCTCATGGCCGAGAGCCCCATTGTGCTAGGCACTGTACACACACAGAACAAAAGGACAGTTTCTGCCCTAGAGATCTTCTGCATTGCTTATCAGTATGAGGGTTTGGCGCTGAGGCACTTTACCAGTGACTTGAAAAGCCAGCTCTTGGGGAAGCCTCATGATTAGTCGGAGCAGTAGGAGCTGAGAGAATGGACTCACCTTGGTCTCCCTTTGGCCCTCGTGGGCCTGGTGGACCTGGTGGGCCTGCGAAGAATGTTTCTGTAATGAAGAGAAAAGGGTTGTTTAATGTACACAAGCAGACACAGCCATGGAGTGGAGGAGCAGGACATGTCCCCTGTCTACATCCTCCTGAAGCCAGGGATCGCCGGCGGTTCATTGAACCGCAGAGGGACAGAGAGGTTTCAGAAGGATCCAACACAAGAATCAAGTGAAAGTTCCTACCTGAGTTGGGCACGAAGGAGCCTGGTGGGCCTGGTGGGCCTGGCGGGCCTGGTAATCCTTCTCCTAAGCCAGGGAGATAGAACAATACTCAGAAAGGAGGGTAAAGGCCAATGAATACAGCAGTCCGCATAGCAGAGTCGCTGGATTGCCAATTCTGGGGCCAGTTCCTTATTTCTCACTGCACCCCTATCCTGCATTAGTCAGTCATGCCCTGGAGTCATACTGGAGGATCACAGCACGATACAAGTATCATGGGGTAGCCGTGTTAGTCTGTATCTACAAAAACAACAAGGAGTCTGGTGGCACCTTAAAGACTAACAGATTTATTTGGGCATAAGCTTTCGTGGGTAAAAACCTCACTTCTTCAGATGCATAGCACGAAAGCTTATGCCCAAATAAATCTGTTAGTCTTTAAGGTGCCACCGGACTCCTTGTTGTTTTAGCACGGTACAGTTAGGGTGAAACTCCATTTACAGGATGGTGCAGGAAAAATCCCAGAGGGCCTCAGTGCATTCAAATGGCCTTTTCACTCCTCATCCAGTGAAGCTTTACATATAGAGGAGTTTTCATTCCATAAGAAACAGGCCCCACGCTGCCCAGCTCCTGGGGCTGCAGCAATCACCATCTACCTGCTAGTTTTTAAGTGCTGCATCAAGGCTAGACCACTGGGCAGTTGAGGACTGAAGATGCTACAGCTGCAAAGCAGAGCTGGCACCCTTTCGCCTTTCAGGGTGCAGACATGACTTTCCTGGCCAAAGATTCCCCACCATCCTTCCCCCAGAGGTCAGGGCCACCAGCAGGTCCAGGGTGTGGGGGGATTTTGCTAGACAGTTCCTTTCCCGTTATCGTAAAACTCCCCTTCTAGTGAAGTGTATCTGTATGAACACACGGGGTTAAACTCTGGCCCCGTGGAAGTCAATGGCAAAACTCCCATCCACTTCCATGGGGCCAAGATTTCTCCCACAGAGTTTCAGAATTACTCATCTGGGGGCACGTGAACAAATCGACTGTAAGCCGCCCCCTCCCCCCCATCCATGTATGGTGGGGAACAAGGTTTTACCTGCTGGGCCGCGAGGTCCAGGTGGTCCCTGGATGGAAGTGCCTGACAAAAGAAAAGAATCAGACGCATTCAAGAATATTTGCATAGCAAAATGAACACGTTGAAAGCATGCTGCAGGCTTTATTCCACCCCTATGGCCCCTGTGATCTCTCCTATATACTGCACCGTATGTAATACTCTATTATAATATACATACCTGGGGGTCCTGGAGGGCCGGGGAGGCCTGCTCGTCCCAGTAAATCTGACGAAACTGAAAAAAAAGGAAATATTTTTGCTCTGGAAATATTATTGCTATGTTGCTCATGAAAGCTATTGGAGTCAGGGGTGGATTAAGGCAAGATCCTTGGTACAAGGCCTCATGGGTCAAAGGGGACCCGGACATACCTATGATTCTGAAAGGACAGGGTAGGGCCTCCCTTGCTAGTCTCTTGGGGACCATGAGAACAGGCAGCAGGTGAGCAGGGCCGGCTCTAGGATTTTTGCAGCCCCGAGCAGAAACAATTTTGGCCGCCCCCCCCAATTTTTTTCTTATCCCACCCCCGGCCCCGCCTCAGCTCCGCCCCTTTCCCAAATCTCCAGCCCTGCCTCCTCCCCCCCAGGCTCTCAAGCCTAGGAGGGAGGGTGAGCAGCAGCGCGCAAATCAGCTGTTTCGCACGCCGCGGCCGCTCGGGATCTCCCCCTCCCTCCTAGGTTTGAGAGCCTGGGAGGGAGGGGGAGCAGCGGCGCGCGAATCAGCTGTTTCACGTGCCGTGGCATGCAAGCGGCAGCAGCAGAGGTGAGCTAGGGCGTCCGGGGCACATTTTTAGGGGCGGCATTCTGGCGCCGGCCATCCCGCCCCTAAAAATGTGCCGTCCCAAGCACCAGCTTGTTTTGCTGGTGCCTAGAGCCGGCCCTGCAGGTAAGGTTGGGATGGACAAGGCCACCAAGGTAGGAAACAGTAAGGAATCTCTCTGGACAGTGAGGACTTGTGAGAAAGACCAGGGAGGCCAAAGATGCTGGGCTCGGATGACGAGACTTTTCAGGAGGAGGAAGAATTTTTAAAGGAGGGCCTGAATTTTTTGGTGAGTGGGGGGGGAGGCCAATTTTTGATGAATCTGGGCCCTGGATAGTCTTAATGAGAGATAGACTTCAGCCTCAAAGCTGAGATGTGAATCCCAAGTTCGGGGGTGTTCAGATCCAGGATTTGGGTTCGGCCCATTATGGAGCTATGGAGCAGTCACAAAGTTCTGTTCCAGATCTGAATTACTTCAAATGTAGTGTTTGTATATGGGGAGTGGATTGGGACCGCTTTTAGTCTTAATCCATCCTTGATCAACATCCCAGACATATTTACAAAAGCTTTTCAGAATAATCCAAGCTATAATAAATAATTGTAATAATAATTGGTTGCAACATGCACAGTGTATTACATAAAACAAATAGATTTTCCCCAGGGGACACTGCTGTTAACTCAATTCTGTTTCTGTCACTTCTGCCTTGAAATTAACATTTCCTCCTCCTAGGGCCGGCTCTAGGCACCAGCGTTCCAAGCATGTGCTTGGGGCAGCACTTTTCAAGGAGCGGCACTCGCTTTTTTTTTTTGCTTGGGGCAGCAAAAAACCTGGAGCTGGCCCTGCCTCCTCCACATCCATTTATCGTGTCACTTTACGCTGGTTACTTCTTTGCAGCGGGCTTAGCATTAGTTTTGTTGTGAGCACAGGGCAGCTGCATGGTCTTGTGGCCTAATGACCAGAGCAGTGCAGTAAGACTCAAAAAGACCTGAGTTTCAGTCCTGGCTCTGGCCTGCTAGACCATTGAGCAGACAATGTCAATGCCCTGTGCCTCAGTTCTGTAAAATGGGGCTAATGATACTGTCCTCCTTTGTAACGTGTTCTGAGCTCTACCAGTAACAAGTGCTAGATACTATTATTGTCATAGTATAGATACCATGAGCCTCAGCTAAACCACGTGCCCACTCCGTCTACAACATACTGAGCTAGAGGTATCTCAAGTTACATACTGAGCTAGAGGTATCTCAAGTTGAAGGACCCTCCCCCTGGGCTGGTCTCACCCAATAACTCTTCATGCTGCCAATAAAGAACTGAAGCAGCATCTCTTCTTACTTTGAGATAATGAAGTTGCAACTTCTGATTTGATGGTTTCCATAACGGTTTCACCTGTGAGCCCTCTCTCGCCACGTGGACCTTCATCAAGAACAGAGAGAGTGTGGGTTATTTAGCCAGTAGAGGACGAGCTCTACCTTTTGGGGGGCCTGCAAGGCTGCAGGCTAATGTACCAGCTTCTGATCTCCTCTGACATGGCTTCAGATGTTGCTTTCTGTTACAATAAACTGGGTGACACAGATTCAATCCTTGATGGACATTCATCCAAATCTGGAAATTCCTGCATAATCTGCCATTATTATCAAGCTCGGTTCAGGATCCATCTCTAACTCCCACCTTTTTACATAGCAGGACCCCTAGATCAGGACCATAGTCCAGATCCTCAAAGATATTTAGGCACTTAACTCCCACTGAAATCAGTTCCAATGGGGGTTAGGCACCTAAATACCTTGAGGGCCCATATAACAGAAAGGCAGCTTTGATTGGAATGTGTCCTACTAGAGCTAACGCCTGGATAAAATAATACTAGATGTATCTATGGCTGTAGCTTTCACACAGAAGATATTTGGGTACTCCCCACCCACTCCTCTATGGGGGGAGGGAAGGGGGAGAGACATGAAAATTGGGAATTTCTTCAAAGATTAATTAAAACTATGAACGCAGACGAATGAGCCAAAATGAAAAGATCTGCAGACAAAAGAGAAAGAGATTGTGCAAGAAGCTGAGAAATAAGGAGGGGGACTGAAAGATTTTATGAAAAAGAAAAGATGAATGAATGCAGTTCATTCAGAGGCAGGCAGTGTACAGTACCTTGCAGTCCGGGGAGACCAGCTGGCCCAACAGGACCTGGTTTCAAAGGACAAACAAAAAACGACTGCGTTAGATTTCCATGGCTGTATTTAACAGTATCAGGGGACAATCGATAGGCCTTTGAAAAGAGCTGAGAACATCAAATAATACATTTGTCCACGCAAGTAAATTAAATCAGGATACAGGCATGAATTAATGAGCACGCCGGTGGATACAGGACGTTCTGGAGAGGTGGTTTTTAGTTCAATACCTAGCAAATAAAGCACATGCTCCATTTAGACTGGTGGAAGAACCAGGCAGGTACGGGGTATAATACAAAGACAATGGGCTTGATCTGCTCTGCCTTGTCCCTTCCCTTGCTGAAGTTTAGGAATAACAGCACTGAAGCCAAAGGAGTTACCCCAGTGTAAGAGGCAGACAGGTGCGAGAGGAATCAGCACCTCTGAGCTTTGCACTGTGACTCCGTTGTACTGGAGGGCGGTGACTGCATTCGGACGCTTCAGAAGAGGTTGAGGCTGGGGGCTTAGCATGGAGCCTGGAGCAGGCACTGCTAAAAATCTCATCAGCTGTTCTTGTGAGATTTCCGCTGTCTTGATGACAATCCCACCCAATTCAGGACTGGAAGATAAGCCCCTTCTGTGTCTGGATCTGAAAACAAAACTATGGGGTATGTGTGTGTGGGTGGGGGGAGGGGGGCGGGAGGGTTCAGATCCAGGGTATTCCCCACCCCCCTTTCTTGAAATGCAAAGGGGCTTGGATTTGAGATCCCAGGTTTGACCCATTGCTAGACTGTGTGCATTAGATCAAAATGTAATGGCAGGTTCCAGGCCACAACCTCACTTCCTCCTGTTCTTCCAAAGCCTCCCTCCTACCTGTCCCTCTTGTATCCGTCTCCCACTCCCATCTTCACACCCTTCCCTGTGCTCCAAACGACCTGTCTTCCTTTTTAAAAATCCCTCCTTCAACTACACATGCCCATTGTGCTGCCTGTTTAAGTGAGGCCCAAGCCCTGGCCTTACTACTGCGGAGATCACAGAGGGCAGGAAAGGTGGGGAAGCTAATGAATAGAGAGTCTCTGATCTATGTGGCCTGTAGGACAGGACAGCTTGGCAGGGATAGGAAACCATGGACTCCAGAATGCTCCTTAACACTGCTCCAGAAAGGAAGAGTGTGGACCCCACCCAGCACTGGGAGAGCGGGGGGGACTCTAGCCATGTCCCCAAGCTGGCCGACCATACTCCTGTAGGCCCATGAAGCACCCCCATGGATGTTCACTGGCCCCCACCTACTGCTCAGAAGCAGCATTTTCCAGTTCTGCTTTGTGTCCCCTATCCCACCTGTAAGATGAACCAGCATTTTACCCTGAGATTGTTAAGTTCCTGGCAGGGCAGGGACCTTGTCTTTCTCTGTGTTTCATACAACCCCAAGCACAGTGCTCAGTAAATACACAATGAACAGCGATGCAGGCTGCACCTGCAACGAAGGAGCAGGGTTTCCTTACCTGGGACACCAGGTGGGCCTGGTGGTCCGACAGCTCCTGGTGGCCCTGGAGGGCCAGGGAGAGCAATAGTCGATGAACCCTCTGCAACACAAAAATGAGGCAGTTGGCAAACAGAGAAGAGGAGTAAATCTGCCACAAATATAATTTGTAATGAACACTCTGACCAGTTTGATTGTCTACATTGCCACAACCGATTTAAATGATGCAAACACAAAAAGACCCTGATCCATTGTAGGCACAGGGTAACCAGGAAAATAGAAGAGATAATAGAAATTGGAGAAAATCATCAAAAACTGGGGCTGTTCAAAATCATACGTACCAGCAGTTATAACTCGGCCGGGAGCACCAGGTTCACCTAGGATAGAGAGGGACAAAAGAAGAGGGATCAATTAATAGAGCAACAAAACATTTTGAATAAGTTTCTGATGGCATATTGGCTTCTGTTCTCATTCCCCTCAATCTTTTGTTAGAGAAATTATAAGGACAGGAGATAATGGGGGTAGAAAGAGACAGAGAAGAGAGAACTCAGCTAACCCCAAAAGATTCTTTAATCAAATGTCCAAATGCTACATTTGTCAGAATGCATAACGGGCCGAGTTCTGATCCTACATACAAGTGTGCAGCTTGCACTGAAGTCACTGGGGCTTGTGATCCTGTATCTGGGGGCAGAGTTGGGTCCAATATGTACATTTCAGAGGGAGAGCTACGCTGATGACTTCTCTGGAGAACACCCTGTTTCTACGGGCTTCAGGAGACTTTTGTTAACTCCATTATTCTTTTTTCTTTTTTGAAACCACTAGGTGCCACTGTTGATCCAGGCACTGGTCAGGAGACAAGAAAATCCTCACTAATGCAAAGTACCTAGAGAATAAATGAAAGCCTGGTTTGAATCCCAACTTACCTTTAGCCCCTGGTGGACCCACGTTGCCTGGGAGTCCTGGTACAAAGAAACAATTCAAAATTGTGAATGTAAATATTTTTTTCCAGATAATTCCCAGAATTGTAACTGTGGGTTAGTGAGAAAAAACCCCACCCAGTCATTTGATCCAACCATTTATTCTCCGACATTTATAGCAGGTGCTTTTAAAAAGTTGTTGATTGCACCTTCTTTGCTTTATCAGAGGACCCTTGATACCACTGCAAGATGGTGCACTGAGGAGTGTCGCATCGCCGCTGGAAATCCCCAGATTTCTAGTGATGGCTAACAGGATGGTTCAATTATGCACAAGGACCTGGAATGCCTTCCTAGTAACTCAGGGTGGGATTTTCAGAAGCCTAGTGGGACATGGTGCTGCCAAATAGCTTGTGAAAATCCCATCCGCAGTAACTATCTCAACACCCACTTTGATTCAGAAACCTGTGAGTCACCATATTAGAATCCCTATTTTGACCTGATAAGGGTGAAGATTCCAAGGAGTTCCTGAACTAGCATCCAGCAGAAATATATTTTCTATCATATGGGTGTTGTTTATTTACTCAGGACATCTCAGCCCAGGTGCTTCTCCAAGTCACCTACCCATAGCACTGCCCAAAGTTTTCCCTGGCTCACAGGGTTTTGCTTTACTCGGTGGGACATACCGAGACTGCCTGGCCTTTTCTAGCTCTTATCGTCTCCTCACCAGCTGATTAGCATTAGCTCATTTTCCCAATGTTTTACAAAAAGGAAAGTAAGTGAGCTTAGTTCTGGTGAAAATTTCTAGGCTGACAGCCCTGGAGGTTGAAATCCTTCATTTATTCACAGGACATCTACATTATGGGGAAAGGAAATGCAAAGTTCTTCCCCTTAGCACCCCACCAATGTGACTTAACCCTGTTCTAGAGGTGCAGCCATGATAATTCTACCATACCATGATAATTCACCCCTTGGCTGGAAATGCAAACAGTGGGGCTAGCTAGAGACATCTATGGTGGTAGCTTTGGTGATGGGGACATCTGGTGACACGGAATTAGACTGAAACAATGAACAGATTTCACAAAGACCATTGGGCAGTCACCAAATGATATCAAGGCTTGGTCACTACAAAACTGGGCTGGGAGTGGATCCTAGCATTTGGGAGAGGACACCCCAACCTTCTGATGTGTCCTTGTCTTGCCTAGGGTTCCATATGTGGAACGCTGTGCGGCTGAGACAGCTACCAGACGAGTGAGGAAGTAATGTGGATTTAAACTGTACTAAAGAAAAACTGTCTCTCGTGAAGGCCCATTCCTCACTACTACAGCACATTTCAAACTGGGCTTTCCTAGCATGTAAGAAAATATCTGTGTTAACCTAAAAAATCTGGTCAGCTGAGCTGCCCTAACTCCATAAACGAAACTTGGTCATGTGCGAATATATGCTGTCAGTCTCATATCTTGGCTATTTTAGTGGTCCTTACACCTATGTCTCATGTAAGGATAACAGGCTCACAAATGTGAGGCTAATAGGAAAGTCAAGGTGCTACAATATGCTGGTGATAAGTCAGAATATGGCTAAATGACTTACCTGGGGGTCCCTGCGGTCCTGTGAGACCTGGAAAAATAAAGGCAAAAATTCTAAGAGATTTGGAAAAATGTCTTTGGGGAAAAACAATAATTTTGTTTATAATTATGGGCAGCTGTGCAAATTAGCCTCCATAGATGTGTGTGTAATCTGCAGATTGCACAGGGCCCAACATCCACATATCTTCGCATTTCATCACAACGTCCCAGCATAGAACTGGCATAGACCCATGTAGCGTTGGCAAGCAGGCAATCCCTCCAGATGGGATGTGTAACTCAATGGCCTTGTCTAACAATAGTCATTTTTCCCCTTCTGGTTTTACCTGGCTGTCCTGCATCTCCAGTGGGTCCAGGCGGTCCTCGCATTCCTTGCATTCCCATGAGACCTTGTTCCCCTAGGGATGGTAACCAAGACAACATAAACATACTCAGCTTCATGTAGCCCAATAACCATTTACAGTCTAGAGACTGCTGATGTGAAAAGAGCCAACGTTCCAATTGTGGGCCCCACCCACAAGTCAGTGGGCATGCTGGCACATTAAGCAGGTACTTTCATGCCTAAATGCCCAATTTAAGCATCCAGAGATAGCAGTTGGCAGCCAAGTTTGAAGTGCCGTAATTTCCTTATTTCAAATGTGAGATATAAGGCCACTCCTGTGACACTGCACGAGTCAGGTGATCTCCAGGAGATCGCATAAGGGGTATCTAGTTGCTCGGGCTTTTGCTTGAAATGGGGAGGTGACTGTGCGACCATAAGGAAAATACACACGCATTCTTCAACAAGAAAACTTCAAAACCAGACTGCAACATGAAGCTGCAGAACTGGAATTAATTTGCAAACTAGATACCATCAGAGTAGGCCTGAATACAGACTGGGAGTGGTTGGGTCATTACAAAACCTAAACTTAATTTCCCCAATACTAATTTCTCCCTACTGTTACTCACCCCTTCTTGTCAACTGTCTGTAATGGGCGTCTCTCTTACCACTTCAAAAGTTATTTTTCCTCCCTTGGTATCCTGGTGTTAATTGATTTATCTTGTTAGACTGACCTAACACTTGGTAAAGCACCCCCATCCTTTCATGTATTTATACCTGCTCCTGTATTTTTTACTTCATACATCTGATGAAGTGGGTTCTAGCCCACGAAAGCTTATGACCAAATAAATGTGTTAGTCTCTAAGGTGCCACAAAGACTCCTCGGTTTTTTTTGCTGATACAGACTAACACAGCTACCACTGAAACCTGACACATTTATCTGGTGCTCATGCTACAGAATGCATATGATAGTTCATTCTTAACTTCACTCTAGTGCTTTGGACACACATGGCCCATCTCAGGTGAGGCCAGGATGATGGAGAACTGGGGCACAAGGCTATTTAGCCTCCCGTAAACATCTCTCGGTTCAGTGTTAGATGTTTGATGGCACACTCTTGTACTACTATGTTGAGAGGCTAGGGCCCCAAGTCCATCACTCCATTGACTCTGCTATTACGTCAGTCACCATCTCAAATTGCAGGCAAGTCACGATGTAGTGGATCTTTTGTCTCTGATGAGGGGTAATGGGTGAGAAAAAGGAAAAAATAGTCACCTACCTCTTGGGCCTTGGTGTCCATCGGGGCCAGCTGGACCTACCCAAAGATAAGAGCTCATTAGGGATTGCTGGAATGGTCCCACAGTATACCCAGTATGGGGGATATTCCCTGTGTGGTATAGCTGAACACAAGACTATGGCTTTCTATTATATTATGTCTGAATAAGACCTTGACTGGGATCATTGATGGTTCAGTAACTTTCACCAAAAGCTTAAAGGTAAGGACCACTTTTATGCAAATATAATCTAACCAAAGAGATTTGTGGGAAAGACCTGGCAATACATACAGTACAATTCCACTGCACAGTTATCTCCATTCCAGTCCTCACAGAAATGGACTATCCGCGGGTGGAAACAACACCTATGTGTGTTCTCTAGAAATGTTGCGTCTGTTCTTTGTTATTTACCTACGGATCCTTTAGCTCCTGGCTCCCCTGGAGGACCAGGCAACCCTCTTGAGCCTGGCTCGCCTGCAATCAAATTAAATTAAAGTGAATAAAAATGATGTTGGTGAGGATAGATTTCATGACGCGCAACAACATTTGCAGCTTTGCAAGCTAAAGATAGTATTGACAGGGCATTCAGGCCTCGTGATTCATGGTGCCGCGTGATCACCTCTGGGAACTGGGAGGCAGTTTTCCAAAATGTACAAATTAACTGAGTGCATTCCAGGTGAGGGGGAATCTCTCTGAAGTAATAGGTATGGATCCCTACCCAGGGATACCTGATTATATGAATCAAGAATACGATCAGATATGGCAAACCTTATGTTCTAATGAACAAAAATAATGTCAACAATAACAATATTTTTACATCTTTAAAAAATAAGCAGAGCAAGTTTGGATGGGCAGACTATATTCCTGCATGCACATTTTTATAATAATCCTCTTCATATTTTAAAGCCAGTATTAATTCCAGGACCCCAGACAAGAAATGTTTATATACTGACCTGTCAGACCACGAGGTCCTTTCTCTCCATGGTCACCTAAAGCAAACACAAGGGGAAATATAACTTCATGTAATTCATAGATTCATAGAGTTATAGATTCCAAGGCCAGAAGGGACCATTGTGATCATCCAGTCTGACCTCCTGTATAATACAGGCCATAGCACTTCCCCAGAATAATTCCTAGAGCAGATCTTTTAGAAAAAATATCAATCTTGATTTAAAAATTGTCAGTGATGGAGAATCCACCCTTGGTAAATTGTTCCAATGGTTAATTACTTTCACCATTCAACATTCATGCCTTATTTCCAGCCTGAATTTGTCTATCTTCAACTTCCAGGCATTGAATCTTCACTCTGGGAGGAGGGATAGCTCAGTGGTTTGAGCATTAACCTGCTAAACCCAGGGTTGTAAGTTCAATCCTTGAGGGGGCCACTTAGGGATCTGGGGCAAAATCAGTACTTGGTCCTGCTAGTGAAGGCAGGGGGCTGAATTCAAGGTCCCTTCCAGTTCTAGGAGAGGGGATATCTCCATTAATTTAAAATTTATTTTATTTTAATCTTGTGATATCTTTCTCTGCTAGACTGAATTGCCCATTGTTAAATATTTTTCTCTCATGTAGATACTTATAGACTGTGATCAAGTCACCCCTTAACCTTCTTTTTGTTCAGATAAAGAGATTGAACTCTTTGAATCTATCGCTATGAGGCATGTTTTCTAATGCTTTAATCAGTCTCGTGGCTCTTCTCTGGACCATGTCCAATTTATCAACATCCTTCATGAATTGGGGGGACGAGAACTGTTTCACTGAAAAATTTTACTGTCAAAGAAAAGGGAAACCTGATGACAAAAGCATCAAATAACCAAAGCCAATGAGGAATATAATTGATCCCAACCTGACATTGAGAGAACCAGGACAAAATATCCTGAGTAATCTAACAGGAAGAAAGTACTGACAAAAGTAATGTAACTGATTAGCATACCTTTGGGTCCGGGTGCTCCCAAAGCTCCTTTCTCACCTAAAAGATATAAAGGCAATGACTTAAAGAATAAATATTGTGGGAGTGGGGGAAGGTCTTCCTCCATCATTCCTCTCTAGAGACACAACATGACCCATCTCTTCTTTTGATGCTTCATCTAATCTAATCTAATCCATCATGCTCCTACCTATCTATGGTATTTCCAGGGTACCTATCACCATCACTGAGTTTATTCTTTCTCCTCCTATCTTTCTCCTATTATCCTTGGGGCCCAGGGTCAGAACCTTTCTCAGATATGACTCTGATTCACAGCTGGGTGTTCTCTTCTGGGTAGCAGTGGAAAAGCACAACATCTGTTACAGCCACCATAACTCGTCAGTGTGGCAGAAAGTGGGCTCTAAATCTTACCTTTGCCCCCTGGGAGACCTGCTTCACCTCTAAATCCTTGAAGACCAGGAGAACCTGCAAGAAAAAAGGAAATTGGGGGTTTAATCATATCCAGTTTACTCCACCGCTGAGCATGTTTTCTAAGGATGCAGAGTGTTGTCACTCTGTCTTTTTGTTTCCTGTATGTTATAACAGGAGAATGTGGCACTCACCTGGTGGACCTTGTGGGCCAGGAGAACCTGTCATGCCTGTAAATAAGAAGTGTACAATATTTCAGCTACATTGTGATGGGAAGGAGAACCCATCTCCTTGGGTTTGCCAACAGGTGACTAGATTCCAGAGTGCCCCTAACTAAACAAGGTCCTCCAGCCAGTAGATGATCTCACATAATTTTCATCCTATACATCAGAGCAATTTAGTCTTGAACTGGGATTGTTGCGATCTATAGGAAACAGCTTTCCCTGGTGGTCCAAGCCATATCCTCTCCTCCTTGCCCAAGGCAGGAGGAACAGAGTTCCAGCTTGTTTCAGCGGGGAGCTGCTCTTTATGGGCAAAATTGTTCCTCTCAGTTACATGGGTCAGCTCCCATTGGTGTCTGTGGAGTGGCACCTACGTGACAGACAGATAAGGTTTCACCCCATTATTTCTAAAGGTTCAAAGGCAGGCAAAAGCCATCTGTAAGCTCAGGTGGGTCGCTGGCACCAGTCAATCATCTACGGCGTCACTTACACCTCCATAAAACAAGCTGTTTTCTAACGTCTAAAATACTCCTTTTCCCATTAGAACATCTCGTTCTGAAATGGGGTTAGTTTGGGGGTAAGCCAGCTCATTCATCTGCCCACTGCAGTGAGGCACAAATCAAAACAGTGAGACCCACAACCGTCCACGCATCCTCCCACAGCTCCTAATCGGGGCTATTGCCCATGCAACCTCGCTGCCATTTTCTGTTCACCACTGTATTTACCTTTGAGGCCAACAGACCCTGGTATCCCAGGCAGTCCTGCAGGTCCCTGATCACCAACAGCACCTAGAGAGTAAACCATCAGAGCACATCATTAACCAGCCTGCCCATAGGCGCCGACTTCCCCTCTTTCCCGTGAGTGCTCGACCCCCTTCTGCCCCCCGGCCCCCTTCTGCCCCTTCCATGAGGCCCTGCCACTACCCCACCTCTTCCCACCCCTGCCCTGCTCCCATTCCAACCCATTCCCCAAAGTCCCTGCCCCAACTCTGCCCCCTCCCTGCCCCTATTCCAACTCCTTCCCCAAATCCCCGCCCTGGCCCCGTCTCTTCCCTGCCTCCTCCCCTGAGCGCGCCACGTTCCCACTCCTCCCCTTCCCTTCTGGAGCGTGCTAACGCTGCCAAACAGCTGTTTGGTGGCAGCCGGGCGGGAAGTGCTGGGAGGTAGGCGGAGGAGCAGGGACGCGGCATGCTCAGGGGAGGAGGAGGAGGTGGGGCGGGGGGTGAGGGGAGCTTGGCTGCCAGTGGGTGCAGAGCACCCACTAATTTTTCCCCACGGGTGCTCCAGCCCCGGAGCACCCACGGAGTCGGCTCCTATAAGCCTGCCAGCTGCCATCCTCCACCCCCAGAAGGAACGCTAAGATTCAAAGGGATGTGTCCACAGTGTGGGGATCGCCTGCACCACACCGAGCTTCTCTTGTCCTCCTGGGCAGCAAGACCAAACAAGCCTGCCACTTGCTCCTGTGGGATCCGCTTGCTATAAACCAATTGTCTCTATGAACCTAAACTGGGCTCCCTGTTTATAATTCCAGCCATCTCTTTCACCGTCCTACCCCCGAGCTCCATGTGCACCCATGAAAATGCTGCTTTGCAGACAGGTATTGCATGTTTACACAGCTACACAACAAACCACCCGCCACCTCTAGTCTATTTTCTTCTGGGAGTCACCTTGAAAGACTGAGGGTTAGCAGCCAATTTAGTAAGGATCTGATTGTGGTATACGGCTCTGATTCCCCGTCGCTCAGTGTCATGATTAATCAGTAATTAAGACAACTGAGAACACATTATCCGGAAATGAGCCCATCTCATTGGGCATTATGAGACACCAGAGTTTGAATCCTTCTAATGTCCCAGGACTTATCTCACTACACCACCTGGCGTCATTGTCTTCTGTTGTCAGGAAATATTTCAGTGGGGAAAAAAATCGATCAGTCATTTCTGTGCTAAAAGATGAGTAAATCCAATACAACAGACAGATCTTTGTAATTAATTGCGGAAGCTACAGAAATTAAAAGGTTCTTTTTGGTAGGACACACAATCAGAACCATCACCCAGCACCAACCCTTTTGCCTTTTTGCACACGCTCAGCAGTTTTCTGGTTTAGTCTATTTATTCAACTCTGTAGTAGCTCTGGGCCAGAGCCTTTCGTTTGACTCTTGCCTCACCATTGGCAGTGTAGATAAGGTAAAAATTAGCTGAGAGCCAAACCTCTTCGGGGTCTGCAAAACCCAACCCTGACTGATGAGCTTTGGCAAAACAAAACCCGACTGGTTTGGCCATTGTCGAGGTGGCACAAACCCGAAACCTTTTGGCCCTATTCCAAGTGGAGAGGCAGATAAAAGGAAACCTGGATCTGAACTATCAAAACTAAATCCTGACCACTGAGACTTTTGCAAAATCAGAAATGAGACCCATCCTCCATGGCCCATCTCTTTATGCACTGGGGATAGGACAGGACAGTCTCCTACCTCTGTCTCCTTTCTCTCCAAATCCAGGTGGTCCAGGTTCCCCACGAGGCCCTGGTAGCCCTTCTCGCCCTCTTTGGCCTGTGGGTCCTTCTCTGCCGTGATCACCTATGGAAAGCAAATGGCTTGTAATATAGCTTTATACGTTCCATGCAGTGAAATTCAGTGTCTCCCCTCCACGCCACCCCCCGCAGCAGGACGGCAAGGGCCACGCTGGGGAGCTGTGTTTGCACATGCAGGTTGAGGGTATGCACATACTGTGTGAGTCTCCCACAATAACTGAGCTGTGATAAGCTCAGAGTAATCTGTAAGGTGGGTCAGTGCTGCTTACCCATGCTGCCTTTCTGTCCTTTCGGTCCCTCTGGTCCTGGGTGCCCAGTCAAACCTGGGACACCTGTAAGCAAAACACAATGTGGTAAATCTGCAGTTTCCCTGACTATGGACCAAGGGTGGGTGTCTAGGAAATATGAAAATAAGGGATTTGGAAATCCAGGACTGCAGAGTTAGGGTGGCTGGGCTGAAAAAATATATTGTTTGCTAAGCACTGTATGTGTGCAGGGGTCTCTTACCAGCATATGGTAGGTAGGGTAGGGTGTGACAATAAATATTCTCTGGCTCTGAGAACATTCCTGTCCAACACGGCTGATACTGAAGGATGCGTGATTTTGTCTATAAAATATTTCTAAATATTTAACATGTACAGGTCTGGAGGCCACATACCAGCCGAGCGTGAGTGCTGCACTGTCATTTGACACAGGGGCGACATTTGCACGACGGAACGCCCACTTGTAATGCACACAGCTTTGCATGCACACACCCTTTGCACACACATTGGCAGGGCATGATCACTCTTGCAGGCAGCTGATAGAATTGTCACAGGCAAAACCCCGTTTGCAATTATTGGCCAGAATCTTTCAAACGTGCCCACAGGTCTCAGTGCACCAAAATCGTGCAGGGAAACGTGTGCTCACACACAAGCCAGGACAGGATGAAGCCTCGTGGCAAATAAAGCCTTTGAGCAGTAGGGCAGTGGTTCTGCCTGTATTTCAACACCAAGGGTATCAGAACTTCAAGCAGTATAAGACATTTGCAATGGCACAAGAGTTAAACTCCATGCAGAGCCAGCCTGGAGGGGTTTGAGGTGCAAAATTAATCCTAGCTGACTGCAGTGTCCCTGCGTGCACTGTTCAGCTGAAGCGCCACGGAGACTGGCGACTTGTAGAGCTCAGCCTACCTGGTGGACCAGGAAGTCCTTGATCTCCTGTTAGAACAAAGAAACAGACCATTAATGGGAAAACGGCTCTTTCCTTATCTTCCCACCTTCACCCTTTTGCTAGTTATTACCCTTCTGCCAAAAACCAGCGGGGTAGGTGCCTTGCCTTTGACAAATCAAAGACCCCAACATTCCTCAAAAGCACATTTTGATTAAATCAGATACCGTATAATTTCTGTCTTGCTTTTCAAACGGGTGAGTGTATTTTTGGATACAAAGCAATACCTCTGATCCCCTCTACAATGCTCTCTAGACTCGGGTCTTTGCCAGGGGATAGTATTGACAAGCGAACAGCCATGTGGCGGGTATAATAGGCGTGGCTGTTCGCTTGTCAATACTATCCCCTGGCAAAGACCCGAATCCCTGC